CAGCCTTCCTTTTGAGATCAGGAACACGACAAGGATACCCACTCTCGCCACTGTTGTTCAACATAGTACTAAAAGTCCTAGCAACAGCAATCAGACAACAAAAAGAAATAAAAGGTATTCAAATTGGCAAAGAAGAAGTCAAACTCTCTCTCTTTGCAGATGACATGATACTTTATATGGAAAATCCAAAAGACTCTACCCTCAAACTACTAGAACTCATACAGCAATTCAGTAATGTGGCAGGACACAAAATCAATATACAGAAATCAGTTGCTTTCTTATACACTAACAATGAAAAAAATAAAAAGGGAAATGAGAGAATCAATTCCATTTACTATAGCACCAAGAACCTTAAGATACCTGGGAATAAACCTAACCAAAGAGGTAAAGGATCTGTACTCAAGGAATTACAGAACACTCATGAAAGAAATTGAAGAAGACACAAAAAGATGGAAGACCATTCCATGCTCATGGATCAGAAGAATAAACATTGTTAAAATGTCTATACTGCCTAGAGCCATCTATACTTTCAATGCCATTCCCATCAAAATTCCATTTTGATGGAATATTTCAAAGAGCATTGATGGAGCATTTTTCAAAGAGCTGGAACAAACAATCCTAAAATTTGTATGGAACCAAAAGAGACCCTGAATTGCTAAGGAAATGTTGAAAAAGAAAAAAAAAAAAAACAACCCAAAAACTGGGGGCATCACGTTGTCTGATTTCAAGCTTTAAAACAAAGCTGTAATCACCAAGACAGCATGGTACTGGCACAAAAACAGACACATAGACCAGTGGAACAGAATAGAGAGCCCAGATATGGACCCGCAACTCTATGGTCAAATAATCTTCGACAAAGCAGGAAAAAATATACAGTGGAAAAAAGACAGTCTCTTCAATAAGTGGTGCTAGGAAAATTGGACAGTTATGTGTAGAAGAATGAAACTCAACCATTCTCTTACACCATACAAAGATAAACTTGAAATGGATAAAAGACCTCAATGTGAGGCAGGAATCTGTCAAAATCCTAGAGGAGAACATAGACAGTAACCTCTTTAACATCAGCCGCAGCAACTTCTTTCAAGATATGTCTCCGAAGGCAAAGGAAACAAAAGCGAAAATGAACTTTTGTGACTTCATCAAGATCAGAAGCTTCTGCACAGCAAAGGAAACAGTCAACAAAACAAAGAGGCAACCCATGGAATGGGAGAAAATACTCGCAAATGACACTACAGACAAAGGGCTGATATCCAAGATCTATAAAGAACTCCTCAAACTCAACACACATAAAACAGATAATCATGTCAAAAAATGGGCTGAAGACATGAACAAACAATTCTACAAAGAAGACATACAAATGGCTAACAGACACATGAAAAAATGTTCATCATCATTAGCCATCAGGAGATTCAAATCAAAACCACATTGAGATATCACCTTACAGCAGTTAGAATGGCCAAAATTAACAAGGCAGGAAACAACAAATGTTGGAGACAATATGGAGAAAGGGCAGCCCTCTTACACTGTTGGTTGGAATGCAAGTTGGTGCAGCCACTTTGAAAAACAATGTGGAAATTCTTTAAGAAATTAAAAACAGAGCTACCTATGACCCTGCAACCGCACTGGGTATTTACCCCAAAGATACAGATGGAGTGAAAAGAAGGGCCACCTGTACCACAATGTTCATAGCAGCAATGGCCATAGTCGCCAGACTGTGGAAAGAACCAAGATACCCTTCAACAAATGAATGGAAAAGAAGATATGGAACATATATACAACGGAGTATTATGCCTCCATCAGAAATGATGAATACCCAACTTTTGTATCAACAAGGATGGGACTGGAAGAGATTATGCTGAGTGAAATAAGTCAAGCAGAGAGAGTCAATTATCATATGGTTTCGCTTATTTGCGGAGCATAAGGAACAACATGGAAGACATTGGGAGATGGAGAGGAGAAGTGAGTTGGGGGAAATTGGAGGGGGAGACAAACCATGAGAGACTGTGGACTCTGAGAAAAAACTGAGGGGGTGGTGGTTGGGGGGGTGGTGAGCCTGGTGGTAGGTGTTATGGAGGGCACGTATTGCATGGAGCACTGTGTGTTGCATAAACAATGAATTTTGGAACACTGAAAAAAAAATTAAATAAAAAAAAACTACTGGGACTATATCAAAATAAAAAGCTCTGCACAACAAAAGAAACAATCAACCAAACCAAAAGACAACTTCTGAATGGGAGAAGATATTTGCAAATAACATATCTGATAAAGGGTTAGCATCCAAAATATATTAAAAACTGATATAACTCAACACCCAAAAAATGAATAATCCATTTTAAAAATGGGCAAAAGGGGCACCTGGGTGACTCAGTGGGTTAAAGCCTCTGCCTTCGGCTCAGGTCATGATCCCAGGGTCCTGGGATTGAGTCCCGCATCGGGCTCTCAGCTCAGTGGGGAACCTGCTTCCTCCTCTCTCTGCCTACTTGTGATCTCTGTCTGTCAGATAAATAAATAAAATCTTTTAAAAAAAATAAAAAATGGGCAAAAGACAAGAACAGACATTTCTCCAAAGACATACAGATGGCCAAAAGGCACATGAAAATATGCTCAATATCAGTCATCATTAGGGAAATGCAAATCAAAAGTACAATGAGATATCACCTCACACCTGCCAGAATGGCTAAAATAAAAAACAAAACAAGTTATCGGTAAGGATGTGGAGAAAAAGGAACATTTGTGCACTGTTGGTGGGAATGAAGACTGGTGTAGCCACTGTGGAAAACAGTATGGAGGTTTCTCAAAAAATTAAAACTAGAACTACCCTATGATCCAGTAATCACACTACTGGGCATTTATCCAAAGAATACAAAAACATTAATCTGAAAAGACATATGTTTATTGGGTATGTTTACTGCAGCATTATTTACAATAGCCAAACTGGAAGCAACTCATGTGTCCACTGATAGATGAATGGATAAAGAAAATGAACTATGACTCAGACATAAAAAAGAATGAAATCTTGTCATTTGCAATGATATGGATGAAGTAGAGAGTATAATGCTAAGCGAAATAAGCCAGAGAAAGACAAATACTATATGATTTCACTCACATTTGGAATTTAAGAAATAAAACAAATGAGAAAGGGAAAAAAGAGAGAAAAACCAAGAAACTGACTTACATTAGTGTCTGTCACATAGTATGAGTTCAATGAATATTTGTGAAAGGAAGGAACAAAGGAAGGAAGGCGAGGGGGAGGGAAGGAGGAAAGAAGGAGAAATTTTGCCTTGAAGAGAAAGAAATAATAGGGTAGTAGATAGCATTTAGGAGAGGATTTTCTAATAGAGAAATCTGGACATGTCTCACTGCTGAGGAAGGGAACCAGAGGCTGAAAATACAAGAGAATGGACTGAACCAAGTGAAAATGTGAGAAGAAAGGGTGGTAGGATTAGCACTGGACAAGTCCAGGACTGTGAAGAGCAGATTTAAATCCCGGCAAAAACTGTATCATGTCCCCAGCAAGAGTGGACAGGCTCAAAATTATACATGGGATTTATACTGGTATGCAGTAGTCAGCTCTTGAGGTCCTGGGTTTCCTTCTGCATGACTGGACCTGGTTCTGCCTTCCTACCAATCCTCCCCATTCTGCCCCAACCCTGGATGAAATGAATTAAGGATGAATGCTGGTGCAGACAGGTCATAGGGCTTTTGGTCAGATCTAAGTCAACAATGCTTGTCTGGCAGCATCTGTTTTTACATTTTGTTTCTCACAGAAGTGGGCGATGAGGTCATTATCTGTGGTTTAATTGTGCTGGTCCTGGTGGGCTTTGAGATGTAGAGAGAAAGGAGGTTGGATATTTTTATGGTAGAGAACAGGAGAGTATTAGGAATTGCTGTTGTGGTAATAGGTAGAAGAAATCTCATTAGGGTGTCAGGGAAGGATTAAATCTAGTTAAGCTTAACGATGTTCATTCATGGTTGTTGGTATCTGCACAATGTGTATTTTGTGACAGCAGTAGTCAGCAGCCCAGTATAAACATTTTAATCCCAGGGTGAAGTTTTGGGGTTTTTTGACCAGTTAGGTGAGATGTAACAATGGGCAAGTTATTCAAGGCAGCAAAAGTATCTTGGTTGAAGTGAAAGATGATGCAGTCTAAGCTGGGCAGGGCAAATATAAGGGGACTGATGGGAATGACATAGAGGGTTCCATGTGATTATCAAAATTCAGCTGGTATAAAAATCACCTTGGAAGGGCCAGATCCTGAAATTATTTTCAGCAGGTCTAAGGTGAAGACCAGAATCTATTCTCATGGATTGATTCTGATTCTGCTGTAAGAAGGCCAAAGACCTTTTTTTTTTTTTTTTTTGAGAAATGATGGATTTGAAATGAAATTATAGTGAGTTTAAAGAAGTGATATTTTGAGAGCAGAGGAGAAACATCAGGAGAATACTATAGGCATAGGTGGGTACAGTGTGAGATGACTAATTTATTATCATTAAGGAAAGCCTTAATGATGAAAGGTCCAGGGTGTACCCAAGGGGGTGGGTGGCTGAAGTGGAGAGTAGGGTAGAGGTGAACATCGCCAAAGGTGAGGTCAAAGTTCTGAAAGCCTCCATAATCTGTGTGGACCTTGAAGCCACTCTGGAAGATGGCAGTATTTGGGACAGAGAAGCAAAACTGTGAGCAAAGTTCAAAGGCACTGGTAAATGAAGGGGAGGGAACTACATGTGAGTAGAGAAAGAAAGGACTTGGAGTTGAGGGCGTATAAGTGGCAAGAGTTTTCACACAATGGTGGAGAAGTGGAACTGCTACTAACATTAGTTGAGGGTTTATTGAGGCTTTACATATATCAATCCATTTTATCCTCATAAACTTCATCTAAAGTAGGTATTATTTTTTTAAGTAGGTTCCATGCCCAACATGGGGTTGAAATTCATGACTCCAAGATCAAGATTTGCAGGCTCTACTCACAGAGCCAGCCAGGTACCATAAAGTAGGTGCTATATTTTATTCCCTTTTTTTGATGAGGGAACTGAAGCATTGAGAGGTAAAGCATCAACCAGCATCTCACAGTTCTTATCCACGATGCTACTCTGCCTGAGGTAAAATGGTACCGGAAGGTGTTTGCATACATTTCAACTGAAAAACAACAAAAAGAGAAAAACCCCAGTGGGGTTAACATTTTGGAAAAGCAATGGAAATATTTCTTCATATTTCATGGGTTTTGAAATATTTGTTTTTCAGTATCCAGCAGATGGCAGCACTAAATAACAATTCCATATCAGGTGGTCTAATACAAACCTTCTGCTTGGATCAAAACTTCTGTCCAGTCCATGCCTTAATTATTTCTTCAGCAGCATCCAGTGTACTGTCTTTCTGTAAATAAATGAAATAATCTCATTATATATCAAACAAATTCAAGATGAAGTACATATTTAAATATATAAAAAATATACCAAGTCAATGGATCAGGAAAAGTCATGTAGTGATTTGGGAACCAAGTGCTCTTCAACCCCTGATAACTTGAGCAGGGCCCAGCTGGGCTCTAGCCTGTCCTTGGCCTCCACAGCACCGAATCCCAGAGTGTTCAATCCGGGCTCATGCCTTCTCAGAAGATGAGTCATTGGAAGCCTTGCCCATATAAAGCCACAACTCTTGAGAGCTGCATGGACAGAAACTGGAAAATGGCATCCGTAGTATCTTCCCCCACCTTGGTGGTCTAGTACATAGGTCCTGAGCTCTTTAAGGAGCCCAGGAGCAAATTAAACAAATCAATTATTTATAATGTTATATCCCATTACTGCCTAGCTGGAAAAGTGAATGAACTTCATAAGAATTCAACATTAGAGGAGCTAGAGAAGTGTGACATTGATCACTACATCATACTGTTTGTGATACTGGCTGCCAGTCTATTGCTCCAATCCTGACACTAAAGAAATGTACAAATCAACTGGCATGTGGCCAAAAAGCATCACCAAGAAAATGATCGACAAACTGTTAAATGCAGTTCAGACTGAAAACAGTTTAAACTGATCCCTGACAAAACCACAGCCACTAGTGCGGACACTCTCACTATTTATAACCATCAGAGCAGTCTGAGCAGCTTGCCGCGCCAAAGAAGACCCAGACTTATAAATGACATTGATGGCGGCAGCGAGTCTGAAGGATGTGCTCATGGGATCAACATTTATTATTTTGGCTTTCTTGCCTCTCACTGCACCCCCTTTTGTGCATGACCTGACACCCCTGATGATATCCAGCCATAAGCTTGGGATATTAAAGGACTGAGACTCAGTCTCCAGTTGGGGTATTTGAATGTCTTTAGGAAAGGAATTCATAAGGGGGAAATCCTTTCCATTTGAGAAACTGCATGATATTTATTGACGGTGTTTACTGTAAACATTTATATCCAATGCTAAGATTTCTGAAAAAATCATTTTTCCTTGCTGCTCAGAAAAATTTACTGAAAATACTGGTTCACTAAAAGCATTAAAATCAGCAGTCTCTCTCCTCCTAAAATGACATTTACAAATATGAAGATGATTCCTTCTGACACAAAATCATGGTGAATGGCACTACTGGCTGGCATTTGCCTAATTGAAAATAGGCACGTTGAGCAAATTACAGCTATCATTCATTTAGTTTTGGATAGTACTCCAATGATTTGTTTACTTTAAAATAAAGACAGATTTTGGTAAAGTAGAAAAAATATTTAACATAATAGCACTAAATGAAGATTTAAGCGAATATTTGATCTCAAGTGAAGAGAATTTTCAAAATTTTCAAAAATGAAAAGGCAGACCTATAAAAGGAATACAATTAAATTAACATATAGTTACGGAAACAAATCAGAGAGTGTAGAAGAGCTTACACAGAGTCAGAATCATCTGCACCTCCTCCCTACTCCTTCCTACTATGCCCACCATCCCCCAAGACAACTCTTTATGGTAATTTCTGGTTTTGGTGCTAGTGGTTACCTCCAAGATCTAAATAAAGCATTTGGTTCTATTTCCTTATTTATCGACTTCAGACAAAATTCACAATTCTCTGCTCTGAATGAGGAAAAATTGTTCGTTCACACTACTATGCCCATTCCCTTCAATGTTTCAGTTATGATTTCTCATAAAACTCATTTGCCTTTTGAATAGGTAATACCAGCATATGGTATAAAATTAAACTGACAGATAAACAGTGAAAATCAAGCTCTTGTTTTTCTCCTCTGCTTTTTCTACTTCTTTTCTTTTCCCTCTCTACTGAATGATTTAATTGAAAAGCCATTCGGTGGGGCTGAGTGAAGCAGGTGTCCACATATGGAGGCAGGGGAAGCCTGGGCAGCCTGGTGCAGGATGTAGCAGCCTGAGTGGAGAGAGGGGGGGTTTCTTATGTGGGTGGCATGAGGTGTTGGTGATGGCAGTGGCATTGTTGACTGGAACAGGATGTTAGGATCCAAGCAGGGTAAGCCAGCATCTGTATGGCAGGGTGGCTCCAGGCAGGGTGTTGGAACCTAGATGGGATGAGGCAGGCATGTGCCAAGGTAGACGGGCATGGGATGTCAGAAACTACGAGGCGTGAAGGATTCCATGCAGTGGGTGATAGTGGCAGCCTCGTGTGCAGTGATGGAGAATTGGAGGAGGGCATCTCTGCAACAGGTGACAGCAATAGCAGCCTGGTACAAAGTGTCAAAGCCTGAGGGGTGGTGGCTGGAGGGACAGTGGCACATAGAGGGACTGATTAAAGATGTGATTCCATGATGAAAGCCAGGGTTTTTTTCACTGTCAAAGAGGGGAGTTAGAAATACGGAGAATCCTTGAGCACTAGTCATTCAAAATATGCAAGTCAATTCATGGGAAAAAGATCCCAGAAGTAGAATTTCTGTGTTAAGAGGTATGTGCATTACATGTGGATGGAAATGGTCAAACTAACCACTGTTAAGAGATTTTACAAATGATACCCCTGCTCTCTGTAAGAGTGTCTTATAGAAATTTTTAGTTGTTCGGTTGTTTCCAAACTAATAGATAAAATAAAATTTTGTTGCCATTTTAATTTTCATTTCTTGTAATATGACTAAAGTGGGAGTCCTTTCATATATTTGAGAGCTGCTGAGAATTTTACCCATAATCATTGTAAAGTGCTCCTTTTTGGCTTATTTTGCCTTAAGTTTCACCTGCTTTCTTTCAATTTTCATTATTTTGGCATGTTTTGCCATTCTTTTATTTTTAGCCTTTCCAAGAGGTTGAATCAGCCATGGTAACTTTCCTTAGACTTCTTGGTATTGTTCCCGTATCTTCGAGGATTGAGTGTTGATGAAAAGGGGGTGTGTTCACACAGATCCTCTTACTCTGCCCCCATGAAGGCTTCGGTTTTTTGTGTAGATGCTGAAGGACTGTTTATCTTTTAAGTCCAATATATCTCAGTGTTAATTTTTCCGTGACAATCTTTCCTGAGGCAAAGCATTCCCTTTCAATTGCTGGATTTAGCTGCCTTTTTTTTTTTTCATTAAAAAAATGAAATTACTGAGTATTCTTAAAACAAAGCTATTAAATTCTTTTCAGGGTCCATTTGTTCCCCCCACCACAGAATTCTAGATATTTCACTTGTCTTCCACATCTATAATTTTTCTAATATTTTAAAAGTCTTTGATCCTCTCCACTCTTCTTTGCTCATTTTTCTCAATCCTTAAGATGCTTACAGAAGGGGGGCGCCTGGGTGGCTCAGTGGTTTAGCCTCTGCCTTCGGCTTGGGTCATGATCCCAGCGTCCTGGGATGGAGCCCCGCATCGGGATCTCTGCTCAGCGGGGAACCTGATTCTTCCTCTCTCTGCCTGCCTCTCTGCCTACTTGTGATCTCTGTCTGTCAAATAAATAAATAAATAAAGTCTTAAAAAAAAAAAAAGATGCTTACAGAAGTAAGTATTCAGTGTTCCCTGCGCTGTTTCCAATGTCACTACAATTACCAATAGCTTGATTTTTTTCCCTTCAATTTTGTACCTGAGCTCTGACAAGCTGTCATTTTATCTTCTTATATTATCTGACATTATCTTCCCTGAACTTTTTAAATTTCTGCTTTAATCTCATTTTAAAGGTTCTGGATTTGAACTATCGACTTTTATTTGCTCTACAGCAACACTTCTCTGATTGAATATTCTCTTTCTGACACTTTGTTTTCCCTGCACCTTTCTCTTCCATACTTTTTTTTGTTTTTTTTTCTTAAGATTTTATTTATTTATTTGACAGAGAGAGAGAGACCACAAGTAGGCAAAGAGAGGGGGAAGCAGGCTCACCGCTGAGCAGCGAGCCCGATGCGGGGCCCGATTCCAGGACCCTGAGACCATGACCTGAGCCGAAGGCAGAGGCTTAACCCACTGAACCACCCAGGCGCCCCCTCTTCCATCCTTAATAGTATATTTTTATAGACTCATAGCTGATTCTTTTTCATGAGTCATTTTTGATTGAATTACCTCTGTAATCTCTTGCTAGTGTACCTACTGTTCCTGTTGTTCTGGTAATGAATATGCTACCTACTGACTTTGTCTATAATTTGAAGATGTATCTGCAGATCTATGTGAGGAGTTAGGGTAGCACTAGAAGACAGCAGAAATTCTCCCTGGTTCATAGTAAAGTTTAATATGATTGATGTGGACTTTAATGGTGGGGAGGTTTTTTTTCTCCTCCCAGATAATTTAAGAGGCTACCTCCAATTTAATCTATCTCCTCCACATTGCCCCAACACGGGTTGGAGCAAACATGACAGGTGTGAATAAGAAAATTTATAACCCAACTATCATCTCCTTTCTACCCTGCCCCACACAGGTTCTAGATGGTACAGCTGTATATCTCTCCTGCCTTGCATATGCTAAATGAGTCTGGAGAAGCTCCCACTGCTAGTGTACTTATTGTCCTATTGTTTTAAATGAGTAGGTTCCCTGCTGGTGCTGCTTATAACTTGAAGATGTAGACACAAGAGACTTTCTAGGTGTCTTCCCTTTACTTTCACAGTATTTGGCAACTCTTCTTCATTTACTGGGGAATTTGTGAATCTGTTTTCCATTCTCCTAGTTGTTTTCAATAATTTCCAAGAAGAGAATGGGGAAGGGCAGTGTTTATGATTTTAAAACAGGAAGTCTTAAGTTACCTTTTTTTTTTTTTAATTAGTTCTGCTTGTAACTTTAAAAGATACACTTCTCTTTCTAGGATCCTCTGAAAGATGAGAATATTCTTGGCCTTACTCTCTCTTCTACAGTTTGGTCAATTAAATAAAATATTAATAAATAAAAATAAAATAAATAAAATATTATTAGGTTGTTAACATTTTTATTCTCTTCTGAATGAGTCTTCCAGAGTTTGTAGATTGTCTTTCAAAGTTGAAAACAATGTTTACATCATTCTGACTAGGTTTATAGATGAATGTGTTGGTAGATTTTAGATCTTATTAAGCCTGTCTTCAGTAGCAACATCTTAAAAATAGCAATGATGCATATATTCAGATTTTTTTTTAAGATTTTATTTATTTACTTGAGAGAAAAAGAGTGAGAACACAAGTAGGGGGAGCGTTAGATGAAGAAGCAGGCTCCCCGCTGAGCAAGGAACCTGATGTGGGGCTCGATCCCAGGACCCCAAGATCATGACCTCAACTGAAAGCAGCCACTTAAACGACTGAACCACCTGGGTGCCCCGCAGATTTTTTTTTTTTTTTAAAGTACAGATCTGATGATAAGCAATTCATTTAGCTGATAAACAATTCATTTAGCTTTTGTTTGTCAGGAATATATACTTCATTTTCAGTTTTATTTATTTATTTATTTATTTATTTTTTTTTTTTAAAGATTTTATTTATTTATTTGACAGAGAGATCACAAGTAGGTAGAGAGGCAGGCAGAGAGAGAGGAGGAAGCAGGCTTCCCGCTGAGCAGAGAGCCCGATGCAGGGCTCGAGAAAAGGACTCTAAAATCATGACCTGAGCTGAAGGCAGTGGCTTAACCCACTGAGCCACCCAGGCACCCCTCATTTTCAGTTTTAAAGGCTATTTTCCTGGAAAAAGAATTCTGGGCTGATATATTTTTTATTTTAGCACTTTGAGGATGTCATTTCACTGTATTCTGGTCTCCATTTTTTTCTGATAAGAAGTTGCTAAATTCATAAGCATGTGAAGTAGAGTCTTTTTCTTGCTGTTTTCAAGATCTTACCAATACACTTGGTTTTCAGCAGTTTGAGTATAAAGTGTCTTAGGGTGGTTTTCTTTCCTTTCCTTTTTTTTTTTTTTAAGATTTTACTAATTTATTTGACAGAGACACAGCGAGATAGGGAACACAAGCAGGGGAGTAGCAGAGGAAGAGGGAGAAGCAAGCTTCCCATTGAGCAGGGAGCCCGAAGTTGGGGCTCAATCATAGGACCCTTGGATCACGACCTGACCAAAGGCAGATGCTTAACAACTGAGCTACCCAGGCGCCCATTAGGGTGATTTTCTTTACAGTCTGTTGTGGTTCACTGAACTTTTAGATCTCTAAGGATGTTGCTTTTCACCAAATAGGAGGAAATTTTGGCCATTCCTTCTTTTTTTTTGGGCTATTACTTCTTAAAATACTTTTTCTGCCACATTTTTCTTTCTTTTTTTTTTTTTTTTGGTACTCTAATTACATGTATTATCACTTGATACTGTCTCATAGACCTAAGGCTCTGTTTATTTCTCAAAAATAATTTTTCCCTCTGTTTTTCAGATTGGATAATTCTATGAATCTATAATTCAAGTAGGTCTTTATTCCTGATATCCTCAATCCTCTGTTAAGCCCTGTACATTTTTCATATCAGATATTACACTTTTAAATTCCTGAATTTCCAGTTGATTTTTTTATAGTTTTAATATGTTCACTCGTTATGACTATATTTTCTTTTAATTTCTAGAACAATATCTGCTTAATTTCTTCCAATATCTGCTTTCTTAAATTTCTTAATTTAATCTTCTTAATTTCTTCCAATATCTGCTTTAAAGTCCTTGTCTGATGATTCCTACATCTGGGTCACCTTGTAATCTGCTTCCTGACTACTTTTTTTCTTTATTAAGGGTTATATATATATTTTTTAAAGATTTTATTTATTTGAGAGAGAGCACAAGCAGGGGGAGGGGCTGAGGGAGAGGAAAAACCAGACTCCCCACTGAGCAGAGAGCCTGACACAGGTCCTGGGATCATGACCTGAGCTGAAGGCAGACACTTAACTGACTGAGCCACCCAGGTGTCCCAAGGGTCACATTTTCTTATGTTTTCACATGTCTAGTAATTTTTGATTTCTGGCTGGACATTGTATTGTTACATGGTAAGGTGTCTGATTATGCTGTGATACAGTAAACTCAGTACTTCAAAGTGTTGAGTTTTGTTCTGGTAGGCAGTTAATTTCATGGCAGCAAGCCAAAATTTTAAAACTGCATATGAGCACATCATTCCTAGCAAGAGAAAAAAGGTGCTTTATAAATCAGAAGGAATGACATCATAAATGTGTTTTTGAATAGAATAGGAAACTTACTTTTATGAAGCAAAACCGCACAAACTTCTCAAACTGTAGTTTGGTCTCTGTGTTACAGAATGCTGAAACTGGAATGGCTGACAGTTTCTGAAAAATAAATAGGAAAATAAAATAGGAAAACTACTTCTATTTCAAATTTAATTTTAGAATAGATAAATGTCAAAAACAAATACTTCTAAATGTTCACAACAACTTCCAAAAAGAAAAAATGTTTTTAAAATCCTCCACAGAGCCATAGTGGAATATCACATAACAAAACTGTAGTTAACATTGTTCAAAACATGTCAGCAAGTATTCTTCATAAGTTAACCATAAAATACAGCACAGTATCTTAAAGGCCAATAAACATTACCTTATTTTTAGTCATCCATTTCACAAATTTATAGTCATATGGTTCATTACTGTCCTTCATACCAGAGAGGTCTGCATCTAAAACAAAAATGAAAATTAGATGGTCTATTATATCTGAGGAGAAGATGTATTTCATTTAAATCTGCCAAGATTCAAAATATTTTCAGAAAATAGTCACAGAAACTACTGAAGTCTCACACTATATGGTGGGTTGGGAAGTGAGGAATTCACAGTGAGGAAGTGAGGAATTCACATTTTTTTGTTTTGTTTTGTTTTTTTAAGAACGATTATTTCCAAGATTATGTAACTAACTCCATTTTCCATTTGCTATTGCAGCCACAAAGTTCATTCCGAAGTTAATGCTAATCACAATACTGTATGAACTTATATGAAAAATTCGCTTCCTTCCCCTCCTATGTGAACTGATCCTCTGTTATATAAATTTCTATTTATATATATTATTACATAGAAACCTTTTTAATGTAAGTTAGCTTAAATGCTTTTTGGAAATAAATCAAGTATATAAATTAATTATTTTAAAAATAACTCATGTTGGGCAACCCTCTCAGGTTCCCTTTCCTTCTCAGGAGCTTTTGTACTGTCACTTAGATATCTCTCAATAAACTTTTTCTGTTGCCCACCAATACTACTACTAAAAATAATAAAATAAGTACATAAATAAAAAAATAAAATACATAAAAAATAAAAATAATTCATGGATGGCTCAGGTCATGATCCCAGGGTCCTTGAGATAGGGTCCCACATCGGGCTCCTTGCTCAGCAGGAAGCCTGCTTCCCCTTCTGCCTGTCCCTCCTCCTGCTTGTGCTCTCCCTCTCTGACAAATGAATAAATAAAATCTTTAAGTAATAAATAAAAATATACAAAATAAATAATAAAAAATAATTCATGTTGAAATGGTATGGATTTTCAATTCAAAAGCAAAACTAAAGGTGATGAAAACAGCTGTTTCTTTTTATCATCTCATAAAATGAGTTATACATTTAGATGTACCATAGGAAAAGTGATTTCTAAACCTCAGAATATAGGACATCTTAAGGGGTTTTATATAATAATGGAGCTTCGTAGAGCCAAACATACATAGCTTTCAGGCTATAGGACAGCAAAAATCTCTGGGCATAATGGCCTCTGCTTCTCTCACAACAAATGAAGAAATAAGTCACTCTTTGGTTATAAAAATCAAAAGTTTTTATAAATGCTTTTCAAGTTCAGTGGAATATAACTTTATTGTAATAGAACTTTAAAACAAACTATTTGGCCAACTTTATCAGAATAAATTATGCTTTTAAATTTACTAATATTAACACTATAGGGTTTTTTTTGAGGAAAATTGGTTATATATAAAATGTTATCATGCTCCTAATTTTAGATTAGTATGGCATGTCAGAAATATATAAAATAGCTTCAGGTAAAATAAAATAAAGACCATTGTTGGGGTACCTGGGTGGCTCAGTGGGTTAAACCCTCTGCCTTCAGCTCAGGTCATGATCTCAGGGTCCCAGGATCAAGCCCCACATCAGGCCCTCTGCTCAGCAGGGAGCCTGCTTCTTCCTCTCTCTCTGCCTGCCTCTCTGCCTACTTGTGATCTCTGTCAAATAAATAAATAAAATCTTTAAAAAAAAAAAATAAAGACCATTGATTTTGGAGACAAAACTATTTGGAATCCAGCTATGTGACTTCAGGCAAGTTATTTAAAACTTTCGAAGTCTTCACATCTTTAAAAGTGGAGCTAAAAACACTTTCTTCAAAAGGGTGTTTGAAAGTGCTAGGCAGGTAGTAGATTCTCAATAGATATTATTTTCCTTCTTTACATCATTTCAGTATATTCTAAAATAACAAACATTCCCTGATAGCAACAACATTCTAGAAATTTTATTTTTCTTAAGTAAAAAGGGAACTAAAATTTTACTCAGGGGAACACTGGGATCATATATTATTTCATTTACTTTTGTTTTAAATTCCACACTAGAACAAGATGATAGCAAATTCTATGTTTAATGGAATACCTAAAAGAACTGACTGCATAACCATGTTAACAGTCACACTTAAGGTTCAGGGACCTCAAACTCAAGACGGTTATTAAAACAAAAGACAAACAACAACAACAACAACAACAACAACAACAAAAACCAGTGACATTGTGAAAAGCCATTTTCCAATAGACAAAATGTTGGTATGACTTTGACACCAATATTTACTCTCTAATTCTAATATAATTTCACACATAAGTTTCCATATATATGAAATAATAAAAACTCTTACAAACCTAGCAAAGACACATCAGCAATGATGAAGTATCCCCCATCAGGAACTATGGGCTTTAGGCCAAGATTTTCAAGTAAATGTATCATCCGATCTCTTTTTACTTCTAACTCTTTTGGCAAAGAATTGAAGTAACACTCTGGGTCATCCATGCGCTTGATGTCAATCCAAAAAGCTTGAGCCAAGGCTTCCTGCATGTTAAGATTGAAACATGTGGAAAGGAAATAAGGTAATGTTACTTATTGCTGAATTTATTGGTAGAATTAAAATTGCCTGAGTCACATGATTGGCAAAAAAAAGAAAAAAAGTCATTCAGAGAATTATAGCTGAATTCCTGTGAACTTATGTTAGACGATATAAATTAACGGAGGAATCAGTTACATGTAAATGATTAAATCTAACTTGAAGAACTGAGAATGAGCCATGAAGATCTGAATTAAAAAAGAGGTTTTGTATAAAGATGGCTTACTTGGAAATGAAAAGACATGAAGTTATTTTCCACTGAGATGAGCTGCAGAATGACTTGCTAGATCTAAGTCTGAAAGATGACCAAAGAAATGATGAACTAGCCAGCCTTTTCCCATTACCTTGGAGGAGGTCATGGAAATGAAAGCGGACCCACTATGTCACTACCCATAGGTATGCAATAATTCTAATCTAAATTCTAATCCCTGTTCTAATCATTCGTATCCCAGAAGTGTCTATGGACCACAGGGATTAGAAAAGAGTTTCCAAGGTATATGGAGTCACTTCTGTACCATTCCTCAAGAAGGCCAGAAGTGACAGGAGAGAAACTGGGAGAAGGGACAAAGCCAATGTTGTTAAAGGTCATGTGGGTGTCTGAGGAGGCAACAGGTCAGGAAAAGGTAAACAAGTCTGAATCAGGACACACATAAAGAACGAGGATCTGTACAAGCAAGGGGGCAGAAGATTGGCAGGTCAGTGTGAACTGAAACAACTTAGAAATACTGGTTCTCAGCACAATGAAGGAAACATAAGCAAATAATAAGTGGAATGGTTGAGATAGCAGGGCAAAGTGGCCAAATTTTAAGGAAATTAATCAGAACCAAGAGGTATCAAGAGTTAAAGCAAAAAACATTCATTCAGTAAACCTATACTGAATACCAATGTTAAATATTGGCATAGTGATAAAACACTGGGGCTATAGTGGTAAATAAGAGAAACATGATCCTCACCGTTATGAAGATTCCAGTTGGTGTGTACTGGACGGGGTAAGTGGAAGGGATGAGGAAACAAATACATGCAAAAGGCAGGATACAGTTTGTTCTGTTGGAAGAACTGAGTCTGGCGTGGCTCAAGAGTAGCAAGAGTGGATGGCAAGAAATGACACGGAGAGACAGGGAAGGATAAGATCACTGAGAAGATTGCATTCCAAAAGAAGCCAGCAGGAAAAAATAATTAATAATAATTTCCAGTACTAACAAAATCTTGGATAAATAAGGATCAAGCTGCATCAGCCTGGGAAGCTGGGGTTCTCTTGGGAAGCATGGGCCAGCTTCCAGACTTGGTTGTCTGAATGCATGGAAAAATCCACGCACTTAGCTGAAATGGAGGACCAGAGCAGTCAGGAAAGGATGTTCCAGATTCTTAGCTGCATCCTTCTTTTTCTCAGCAATTTATTCACTCCGCATTGCCCTAGAAAAGTCAAAGCTCAAGAGACATAAACATCTCTCTTAACTGTAGTCTTATACTGGACTTCCTTTTCTCAAGCCCCACATGTGACCCAACAGCAAATACTGTCAGCTCTGCCCTCGAAATATATTCACAACCCAATCACGTTCCACCATTTTACTATTCCCGTACTGGTTCAGTCAACTGCTGTCTCTCTCCTGGATCACTTCAAAAGTCTTCTGACTCAATAAAGTAGGCAGGTCCCTTTGATAGTGCAAGTTAGATCATGTTACCCTTGTGCTTGAACTCTCCAGTGGCTTCTTATCTCACTCAGCCTTTATAGTAAGGAACATGACCTTACTTGATCTGGCTTCCAGCTACTCCTTTGATTTATTTCCTCCTACTCTTGTCCTTTGATCATCCCGTCCCACTTTTGTGCTTTTCACAGATACAAACATGACAGCCAGACTGCTTACTCCAGGGCCTTTGCACTTGTTTTTCTTGCAGTCTGGAAGGTTCTTCTCTAGGTAACCCATGTGACTATTTAAGCTTCAATTCATAGCTCAGATGTCATCTCAGTGAGGCTTTCAAAGATTACTCCATTTAACATTGTATATCTCCCTTAGCACTTTATATCCTTCCTCTTTCTTGCTTTATTTTTCTCTATTGCATCTATGAATACCTGGTATATCAGTAAAATATTTACTTCTTTATTATCTGTGTACTGTCAACTGGGCTATCAGCTCAAAAAGAGCTTTTTAGAAAGAGATTCCTGCTGTACCTCCAATACTCAATAAATGTTTGTTAAATAAATGAATGGACTTATTTTGAGTGGATAAAATGAATTTATTATTATATAAAACCAAAAGTCAAAACTAGTCTTTATTATGATACTGCTTTAGAGAGTCATTGGAGAAAGAATTAAAAAAAATTTTTTTTCTCATTCAGTAGATATTTTTGACAGGAAGCAAAAAAGTAAATTTACTGTAGCCAATATATTTCACTCTTTTGGCTTTTTAAATGTCTTCTAGAAAAAAAAATTTTTTTTCACTGTTCTGATTATTCACAGAATAATGATACATAGATACCTATTATATGTTCATTTTTTAAAAACAGAAAAAATATAAAAAGGATATACATTAAAAAGTCTTGCACCCAGCCCTGTTCCTATCTACTCATTTCACCTATTCCTCAATCCCCTAAAATTAGCCACTTTTACTAGCTCCTTATGGATCCTTCCAGAGATCCTTTAGGAAAATACAAGTGAATGGTTTCCCCCTGTCTTATACAGGATATAGCAAAAATATACACTGCCCCGCATCTTGCTTTTTTTACTTTACGGTATATTCTGGAAATTTTTCCATATTGATCATTATAGAGTTTCCTCATTCTTTTCCTTTCTTTTCATTTTTTAAATACTCATAGTGACAGACAGAATGGCCCCCAAAGGTGTCCAGGTCTTAAAACCCAGAACCTGTAAGGGCACCTGGGTGGCCCAGTCCTTCAGTTCAGTTCATGATCCCAGGGTCCTGGGACAGAGCCCTGCATCAGGGCACCCACCCTCTGAACCTCCCCACTGCTTGAATAAATAGAAAAATCTTAAAAACAAACAAACAAACAAACAAACCCAGAACCTGTAAATATGGTACCCCACATGGTAAAATGAACTTTGCAAATGTTCAGATACAATCATAAAGATCCTTATAAGGGCAAGAAGGTAGCAGGAGAGAATCAGAATCATGTTAGAGTGATGTGACCATGAGCCAAGGAATGTGAGCAGTCCCTAGAAGACAGGAAAGATAAGGAATGAAGTCTCCCTTACAGCATCCAGAAAGAATACCAGAAATTAGACACTCTGTTTTTAGCCATAAGACCCATTTCAGATTGGTGACCTCCAGAACTGTTAGATAAAAAATTTGTATTGTTTTCAGCCACCAAGTTTGTGGCCATTTGTTACAGAGAAATAGGAAACGAATACAAAACTCATATAGTATTTAAATGTTTGGATAAACCATGGTTTGTTTTAATTCTAAAGATGGATAATGACTATCCCCTATCTCCTGCAATAAATGGCCACACACATAGACAGCTCCGTAGGTGTACAGATAACAGCTACAGGGTAAATTCCCAGCAGATGGATGCTGCTTTGTAGGGCATGCACATCTATGATTTTGCTTGGTGTCGTCCCTGTCCTTCACAGAGTCCACAGTACTTTGCAATCCCTCCAGCAGTGTATGAGTGTTCAGAACTAAAACTTGGTGTATTTAAATAAACAAAAAGAGCTGTTCTTGATAGCAATGAATATTTGTCCGTTCCTAAATTCCCAAACAGTACTAGATGCCTGGTTCAAAAAGGGCACTCGAATACACAGCCTAAAAATAACACTTTTACCAAAAGACCATGCTTCAACCCCAAGTATCATTAATACTTACCTGTAAAGGCGTCGCACAGGTATAAATGGTGTTTTGTTGGACCGTCTGTAAATGTTTTATCAGATGATGAGGACCAATGGACCAGCCAAGCTGGAAAAGGAAAAGATAAAAAGCAGATTCCAAAAAACAAATCTAACTGTATGTACCAAATCTGATGGAGTAGCTCAGCTTAATGTAATTATTAAGTATATGCAAGTCTAAAATGTTCATACTATGAAAGTAGTGCAGTGTTAGTATTTACCCCTCATTTCAACACTGTTGTTTTGTGAGAAAGTTTCCACTGGAGTCACTGAACTCTGCTTTCAGAAGGTAAACAGTACCCTTAGTCACTATTATCCTTTTCTTTTCTAATTTGCTACTTCTGATATTCTGAAGGTCTAAAAACTGTAACAAAGGTTATCTGAATTCGGTAAAAGTAACTCTGGATGAGGGCCTAGGGGGCTCTTCCATAAGCTGGTTCTCCAGGCCCCATTTTCTTGATACTCCCTGCTTCTTGGCCATGTTCAGGAGAGGCCGGTTGGAGGATGACCTAGTTTCCACGGCCTTACCATGGGTGTAGAGATTACTTAAATGAATAAATAAATAAAAACTAAACAATAATTTACTGGGTAAATTGTTATTGTATTACATAATGTGGTGCGTAAGTACGTGGATTCTGAAGCTAAACTGCCTGCACTGGCTTGACTTTATTTGCAGTATAGCCAGCCTCAGGAAACTTACCTAACTTTTCTGTACTAGTTTTATTGCCTGAGAAAGGATGACAAATTACACTCACCTCATAATGCCCTTATGAGAACGAGCTTGTGTAAAGCACTTAGAACTTGGCACAGAGTAAGTGCCAAAATACTAGTTATTATTCTATATTATTTTCTTCCTCCTTTTATATTAATATGCAATAATCTGAACGCTTTTTGCAAAAAAAGAGTGCCATTAGTTCAATACTTATAAAATAAAAAACTACCTATTTTTTCTGCCATTTACAGTGACATGGATGGAGCCAGTGTTATGCTAAGCGAAATAAGTTAGAGAAAGAAAAATACCATATGATTTTACTCATATGTGGAATTTAAGAAACAAAACAAATGAGCGAAGAAAAAAAAAGAGAGGGAGGGAGGCAAAACAAGAAACAGACGCTTAACTATGGAGAACACACGGATGGTTAACAGAGGGGAGGGGGGAGGAAGGATGGGGGACACAGGTGATGAGGAGTCAGGCAGGCACTCGTGATGAGCACTGGGTTTGTATGGAAGGGCCCAATCACTGTACTGCACACCGGAAGCCAATATGAAACTGTATGGTAACTGGAACTTAAATAAAAACTTCAAAATAACAAAGAAATGATCAGGTCTCAAAAAGGATAAAGGCCAACACGAAAGCCGAATGAGTAAATAATAAAGAAAATATCAGTAAATATAAAAACCTGTGTAAACTGAGAATATATGCATTTAAAACATACAGGTACAGAAACTCTATGAGAAATAAAATATATGCCTGTTTTGAAGACATTATTTTCTTCTGCATCTTACCTTCCAGCCAGTTACACTGAAAGTCTTTCCAGCACTTCCTATTGTTATTGTTCTCTCCCACATACCTGGAAACGTAGCTGAATAGGAAAGAGAAAAGAAAAAGGTTAAGTAATTGCTTTCCCATCAATCTATATTCAGTATAATCTAAAAGTAGTGTCGTCAGTGTATTTCAGTAGGTTTTTATTTTTTTAATTTATTTTTTATTTTTATTTATTTTATAGATTTTATTTATTTATATGAGAAGGAGAGACAGAGAACGCACAGGCACGGGGGAGTTGGAGAGGGAGAAGCAGGATCCTCGCTGAGCAGGGAGCCTGATGCAGGGCTCCATCCCAGGATGCTGGGATCAGGACCTGAGCCAAAGGCAGATGCTTAATGACTAAGCCACCCATGCATATCTTCAGTGGGTTTTTAAATATAATGTAACTTTAACCCAAACACAATTAAAAATGTTACAGTACTTGAAAACACTGTAATATATGACAGATTAAGTAATTTTAAGTAGCAAAATTACTTCCAGGGGCAGGAGTGTCAGTAGCCAGTGTTCCGGTCAGAGGTCACACAAGCCTTGGCACCTAGCACTCAGTGTCAGCAGAGGCAGTACATTCAATATTCTCTTCCTGTGGCTCCATTTTGGTTGTGGTCCTGGCTATTGTTGTCTCAACTCTACTTTGCCCATTTTGTGAATCTATTTCTCCAGGTTTCCTAAGGCAATGGTTCTTAAAATGTGGTCCCCACACCAGCAATAGCAGTCTCAGTGGGGAACTAGTCAGGAAGGCAAACTATTGGACTGCATCCCAGAGCTACTGAATCGGAAACTCTGGGGGTAGCGCCTGGCAATCTGGGTGTGCATGCATGTGCGTGTGTGTGTTTTGCTAACAACTTTGAGATATAAATCCTACACCATAAAATTCACTTCTTTAAACTGTCCAATTTGATGATATTTAGTATATCAGCAGAGCTGTGCAAGCAGCTGGAGGAAGTCCATACCTTTTGGGTATCACCCCTTAATAACTCCATGGCCAAGAGCACTAGAACTTGTGCCTGAATGGAGCTCATCTCCCATACTTATTCTTTCTATAATACACACCATAGCCTTCCTGCTCTTAGAAATATTAGCCAGCATGTCAGCACTATGCTTGGGATCTATTTTAAAGAACAAAATCATCATGAAAAGGACACTTGTTTATAGAAGGAGCTGAAATAAGAAAGCAGAGTGTTGCCTTGTTGACCTCAACTGAGAACATGTCCATCGGGTCACTCCAATTTTTTGCCCCTTTCTGCATATTTATGAATGAAGTGCCAAGAGTATTGACTTTGGAGTTAAAAATCTATTTGTTAGTGATTCACAAGTATGGATTGCACAAATTACGAGAAATGACTGCATAAATGTTTTCAAGTTGGTTGATATCTTTAAAAAAATAATTCAATCTTATACTTATTTACTTACCAAACATTTATTAGCAATGACCAGGTGCCAGAGGCTAATTTAGGTCTAGAGGAAACAAAGATAAGAAAGAAGCCATTCCTATCTTCAAGAAGTTTAATGTCTAGTGGGGGTAGGAGGAAAGTAAAACAGAAACCATAGTGCAGTGTGGAAAGTGATGTAATTGCAACAGGCATGGAGTATCATGCAAGAACAGAAGAAGGTGTTAGGTGTAGCTCTCTGTTGACAGTAATGCTTGAGCTGAGACTTGGAAGACCATGTAGGCCTTTGCCAGTCAGAGAAGGGGAAAAAAGGTAATTGGGGCAAAGGGTATGTAGGTGACAAAATGATGAAGGTAGAGAATGTAAAAGCTTGTGAACTATGCTGAACATTGATAAACTGCTGCCTTATGAATCTTCTAAGAATGCTAACTACACTGCTCTTTGCATTCCTTAAGTAATTTAGTTGTGAAGTTCTCATGCAATCCCATGAGTTTTTCACCTGTTCTGTAGAGGTACAGTAGATATTCTTCTGTTGTTCTAAGTTCTAAGAGTCATGGTATACATAAACCTCTCTTTTTTTTCAGCAGTAAACTGATCAGCTGAATAACTTACAAGGAATTTTATATTAGTTATCTAAATACTGAAAGATTTGTATATCACTATCAATGTATTAATATATCTTTTTTCTAGAAAGAGAGGTTTCTTTTGTTGACTGAAACATCATTTTATAGAAATCTGGAGATATCATTTGAATCAAGAATCTGATCCAAGAACAAATTCTACTACTTCAATAAAAAGGGCCCTAAGGAATTTTAAAACATCTGGATGTTCATGTCCTCTCCATCTCAGAGCCACAGAAGTTAATGTAAACAGAACAGAATACCACAGTCCTGTGTGTGAATCTAACAGGAAAAAAACAAAATACAAAAAAGAGTCTTTGTAGGTCTGACCATTTAAAAAAAAAAACAGTATCTAGGGGCACTGGTTGGCTCAGTTGGTAAAGCATGAAACTCTTGATCTTGGAGTTGTGAGTTCAAGCTCCATGTTGGGTAGAGTTATTTAAAAACAAAACCAACACCAAAAAACCTATGGGCACCTTGCCAGCTCAGTTGGAAAAGCACGCAACTCTTGGTCTCAGGGTTGTAAGTTCGAGCCTTACCATGGGTGCAGAGATAACTTAAATGAATAAATAAATAAAAACTAAACAACAACAACAACAAACAAATCCCAATACCTAAAGTTGGTAAGTTAAGCTTGCATTTATATCTCTAAGGCAACTGGTCTTTGCACTTCCCATATATGACCCATGATCCTTAAATCAGCCACAGCAGCTATGAGTTATTTACAGGTAGCTTAGGCTTCAGTGGAAGTCAGATGGGGATGAGAGGCATGAGGAAGAGTGCTACCCCGGGGAAAACTGCTTCAGTGAAAGCATGAGGATGCTGCTGCTTCATGATGTGTGGTTAGAAAGCCTTACTATCACACTCTGCAAATTGATGAAATAGCCATTTTGCATCTTTCATATAACAAAGGCCACTGTATTTGAAGAAGAGCTAACTTTTTGTGGAACCAAACTGCACTCTCTAAATAATGAAATAGTGAATTCTTTTTTTTTTCTGGTTTATGGGCTGTTATAAACAACTAAAAAATCCGAGTTAAAAATATAAGTCTTGATATCTTCAGCAAGTAATATCTGCTACATTTTTACTATTTACCTTATCATATGAGGTTTAAGCAGTATAATAAAGGCTCAAACAATATATCTTAAGATCATTTAAAGTTATCTATTGGAAAAATATTGTTAAACTGAGTTAACTAAAACTCTAAAGATTTGAGGCATTATTGCATAGACATGAACATATGTTTTATGTTAAATATAGAATTATATTCATTAGAAAGATGACTCTTCTCTCTGCTTAATTAAAAAATTAAATTTATTTAATTAATTAAATTAGAAATGACAAAAAATAATTATTTGTCCATATTGATCTGATTTTCGACTGGAAATAGTTCAAATGACCCAAAACAGAGAGATCATGAAGATGAACCCTAATGCAGTTTTCACATGGAACAGCAGTTTGCTGTGTCAAGGCATCACCGTACCTTTCAGATCTCTGGCTGTCTTCTCTGGCTATCCATTCTCCCTGAGAATATTCTCTTCCATGGGTTTCACCATTAACAAAATTTTGATGACTGCCCAAACTGGTTCTCCTCATAATTTGATCCTGACTATCAGGTCTATAATTCCACTTGTCTCCAGACATCTTCTCTATATCTCTCAAACACTGAAACTTAGCAAGACTAAAGCACGAGAAGCAGGAAGATTCCTTACACCCCACAGATCTGCTCCTCCTCAGCATATCCCCACCTTTGCTTAAGAGCCTCATCACTGCTGAGGGGGCCAGGCCAGAGATCTCAGAAGCATACTTGCTTGTTCCCTTCCCATCTTCAAAGGCTATACCCCCTCCCTGCCCAAGCCCCACATTGTTTTGATTCTAAACTCTACTGCTAACCTATCTGACTCACTTCAGATCCTCACCTATAGCTGGTTCTTAGCTTTATACTACAAATCCAATCATGTAACCAATTCCCTTGACATGACACATCTCTTGTTCTCAAAGTATGCTAATTGGAACTCTGACAATCAAATTAATTTGTAGAATTTTTTAAAAAAATCAATTTTAAAGTCAATCACAGAAAGATAATTATCCTATGAGCTCCCTGATAAGACGAAGTTAAGAGGCAACGTCAGGGGTTTGGGGGGTAGGAAAAGAATAAATGAAACAAGAGGGGATTGGGAGGGAGACAAACCAGAAGAGACTCTTAATCTCACAAAACAAACTGAGGGTTGCCGGGGGAGGTGGGCAGGGAGAGGGTGGTGGGGTTATGGACATGGGGAAGGTATGTGCTATGAAGTGTGTAAACCAGGCGATTCACAGAACTGTACTCTGGGGCTAATGATACATTATATGTTAATAAAAAAATAAAAAATTTAATTAAAAAAATCAATTTTAAGTTTTCTTCCTTGAAATTTTCTTAAGTGCTTAAAATAAGTACTACTGTTTATCTGACAGTGTGTGCTACCAACAATGAAACAAATGAATATTTAGTAAGTAAATACTAATGGCAAAATAAAAAAGTTCTGATGTGTTTATTTCAATGGCTCTTTGTTACAAATATGCACAGAACTGTGATTTCTTTATTGACTTCTTTTTTTAAAAAGATTTCCTTGTTTTAGAGAGAGAGAGAGTATGTGTGTGTATGTGTGTGTGTGTGCATGAGTGGGGGGGGGGTAGAGGAGCAGAGGGAGAGACTGTTCAAGCAGACTTCCCACTGAGCACAGAGCTTGATCTCACAACCCTGAGATCACGACCTGAGCTGAAACCAAGAGTTGGATGCTCAATCCAAGTCAACCAGGCGCCCCTAATGACTTCTTCTAATTATTAAATTTCTGTTAGGAAAATTGTCTCTTGTTTCAGGATGGAAGACAATGTATCCCTATTTCATGATGTGAATTTCGTGGCTCTGAGGTACTCTGTATACTAAGGCTTTGAGTTTCAGAACCAGTGACTTCCTCCACAAGTTTATACTCTGTTCTTATTCGAGGCTGTCAGAATTACCCTACTTTTCCATCATCATCTGTGCCTATTATATCTTTGTAAACCACTTGCCCTAATCTTAAGTATATCTTGATCTGTTACGCCTCCCTGTCTCAGTCCATATTAGTTTATCTGGTATGAATTTTCTTCCTACCTCTCTGCTTAGCAAATTCCATCTTTTGCTCACTCCTCTGTTGATCCCCTCAAGCATTTGCTTTGTCCTCTGTATTTCTACTATTTATAATGTACATAGGGATAATTATGATATATATAACTATTTATATATAAGTACACTAATTTTTTATTTATTGATTTTTTGCCTGAGTGATTTTAGTTTTCCTTCCTTTATCCTTTTCATACTTTCTATTCATTTACTCATCAATTATGCTCTGATCCTCTAACATATGCAGGATCCTATCCTGGAAATTGGGCATTCAGAAGACACTAAAACAAACAAAAGTCCCTACGTTCTAGCAGGTTAGAAGTAAACAATATAGGTCTTGATATTTATTATAAAGGAAAAAACAAAACAGAACGGGGCGGGAGGGGCAGAAAGCAAAGCAAATGCTGGAAGGAGAAAGCTTTAACTATGTTACATATAGCCATAAAAATGGATATCAGAATAAAGCCCTGGAGTAGGTGAGAGACTGAGCCATGTGGATATCTAGGGAGAAAAGTGTTTCTGGGCATCAGAAGTACAAGTGCAAAAACTCCAAGTCTGCAGCTGTGCATATAATCTTACAGCTGATATCAGTCTGAACAATTTTAGAAGACACTGAGGTACTTGTGAGATGGCCCAGTACTAATGAAGAAATCTCTGGCAAAGACCAAGCGGCAATAGCTTACTGGCCCTTACATTCTCCTGTTGACTTGGAATTTTGGCAACTTGCTCAGCACAGAGTCCAGCTTGGGAACAAGTAAGCTCCCTGTGTCTTATGTACCAAGTAATAGATGGATTCTTGATAAAAAGCCAAGGATATAGGCAAAAGTATGACTTCTCTGGTTTCATAGCTTTATAGTATGATCCAAAAATCTCTTCCCTTAGTTTGTACTGCTTGTCCTTCAATCTGTTAATCATTTCACTCAAGCATCATTTATTTACATCCCATTTAAGTGCTCATCCGGACAGATACCCAATGTAAGGACTATTTTAAAGCTGTTCTGGGATCCTTTCCAATCAGTTGTTCCACACGTGCCCAAACACATTTAGATTGTGACTCTATGTAATAATCAGTACCTATTTTTAAATGCGTATTTCCAGTATATACAAGCCATTCATAAACCTCATCACTGATGCAGAGTGTGTCATATTTGATGCAAAGGTCAGCAATTACTTGGAGTTCCTCTTTGGTATATACCTGTATGTATTAAAGAAAACAAAAGAGCAGAGCCAATTATGATTCAACGTATGAGAAAATGATAGGTCAGAAGACTGTATAAAGAGATCAAAGACTCACCTTGCCAATGGGGTTATGTGGAGTATTCAGTATAATAGCTTTGGTTTTAGAATTAAATTTACTTGCCAGTTCTTGAGGATCCAATGTCCAGTCAGAACTAGACCATTTTTTCCCGTTGACAGGTTTCTAAGTATGAAGAATAAAATGTGATTTAATTCAATTGATTCATGTTTGCTGTCTTACAAATAAATAACCTTACTGGGGAAAAAAAAGAGAAGGGTAAGGCCTTTAAAGGTTACTGAATAAATGACTAACAAAGAAAATAAACAGAAATCACTAAGCCTGGGTGCCTGGGTGGCTCAGTTGGTTGAGCGACTGCCTTCAGCTCAGGTCACGATTCTGGACTTCCGGGATCGAGTCCTGCATCAGGCTCCCAGCTCCACGGGGAGTCTCCTTCTCCCTCTGACCTTCTCACCTCTCATGCTCTCTCTCACTGTATCTCTCTCTCAAATAAATAAATAAAATCTTAAAAAAAAAAAAAAAGAAATCATTAAGCCTTAAGAGTCCAAGAGGACTAGAGTCTCACGCTCACACCTATTAAATGGCAAAATAAAATCTTGTCAACACTTAATAGCTGTTAAGTGTCTACATTCCTTCAAGGGAGCCAGCTGTAATGACGGTTAACACATTTGGTACTTTAAGGCCAATATAAGATTCTGTGATTTATCTTAGTGCATACTTATTTTAGTAAGATTTTTAAAAAGACATTGGTAGGGGGGTGGGAGGTTGGGGGAACCAGGTGGTGGGTATTAGGGAGGGCACAGATTGCATGGAGCACTAGGTGTGGTGCAAAAACAATGAATACTGTTACGCTGAAAAGAAATTAAAAAAAAAAAAGACATTGGTAGCATGCTTCATTAAATTCCTAAAAATAAAAGCAAAAAAATTTTTTTTAAGATTTTATTTATTTATTTGACAGACAGAGATCAGAAGTAGGCAGAGAGGCAGGCAGAGAGAGAGGAAGGGAAGCAAGCTCCCTGCTGAGCAGAGAGCCCGATGCGGGGCTCGATCCCAGGACCCTGGGATCATGACCCGAGCTGAAGGCAGTGGCTTAACCCACTGAGCCACCCCAGCGCCCCAAATAAAAGCAAAATTTTAAAATTTCATAATTTTCACTTAATTCAGAACTGAACAAGCATTTATGGAGACCCAGCATAAACTGTTAGTCACTGGGGAGCAGTGCTATGAAAGTGAGTTAGAAATGGTCTCTGAGCTGGTCCTGCTCATTTTGGTGAGGAAGACACATAGCTACAAGAGATAACATTAGATATAATGTGAATGCTGGTACAACAGAGACACATGGCAAACACAGGAGACAGTAATAAAAGTTGCTCTCTTCAAGATATTGGTTACCTTCAGCCATAGTAGAGATACACAGTAAATCCCAAAAAGTAATCAAAGTTGAAACTTCATCAGGGACAAAGAAATTACATATATTTTCAAAACATCTTGAAGAATGTGAATGGTGCGGGCAAACTTACAGATCTTAGGGGAATAAAAACAGGTGTTGCTCCAGCCATTCTCACCATGGGCTCATAGCAGTCATAGAAAGGCATTATTATTATGACCTAAAATGAAACCAAATAAGAATTTAACTTATCAATTATTCATTCATTTAAAAAAAAATACTGTGTACCTGCATTATACTACATGATGAGATGCAGCAGTGGAAAAAGCTGGTCTTCCTTGCCTTCATGGAGCTAACAGCCAAGTGGAAAAGACCTTAGAGATACACTTGTCCAGGAGTCCTTGATCTCTAAATGAGGTCTACAGAAGGACTTGCAGTCGGGATTCTTGAAATTATATGTAAAACTTCACATGGGCTTAGGTAGATTTTTCTGGGGGAAGAGGCCATGTCTCATCACAACCTCGAAGGAATGTTCCAGCCAAAACATTAAGTATTTCTTTAAATTTTAAATTACAAAATAAAATACCAGAGAGGGGCAGAAGCCAACGACACAACAATGCTCTCCATTATGGGGTACCACTTTCCAAGCATTAACCTGAGGGTAAAGATGTTTCTTCCTGCTCAAAAGCACTCCAAAACAAAGACTGGATGCAGGGAGACAGATTAAGATGCTATTGTTAATGTCTGATACTCACAATTTCACTGTGGGTGACTTATATCTAGATTCAGTCTTTTTTCCTAGCCCCTTAAGATACATATTTCTTGTTCCTTGGCCTCTACGTGTTCTCTCTCAGTCACCTGTGGGCTGGCTTTTACAGCAGTCAATGGGCCAATCCAACCTGTCCAGTTGGTATCTAGCATCCTTTTTACTTTTCTATAAGGAAAGTTTGAACACAAAATTTATACCCATCATATATATTCTCTTTTTCTTTTTATCTTTTTTTTTTTTTTTCTTTTAGAGAGAGAGAGAACACACGAATATGGAAGTGAGGGGTCGGGGAAGAGAGAGAGAGAGAGACTCTTAAGTAGGCTCCACACCTAGCCTGATGCAGGGCTCAATCTTATAACCCTGAGATCATGACCTGAGCCAAAATCAAGAGTCAGACACTTAGCCAACTGAGCCACCCAGGTGCCCCTCTTTTTATCTTTTTAAACCTAATAATATTCCATGAAAATTTCCTATTATTATACTTTTAATATTTATTATCTTAATGGCTACTTGGGAGTCTTAGAATAGTCTTTTTTTTTTTTAAATCATTTGCTTGTATAAAGAACAATGCTGGGGGACCTGGGTGGCTTAGGTGGCTGAGCATCCAACTCTTGATTTCAGCTCAGGTCATGATCTCAGGATTGTGGGACTGAGCCCCATGATGGGCTCTGTGCTTTCAGAGGAGTCGGCCTAAGATTCTCTCTCCCTCTGCCCCTCTCCCACCAGTGCCCATGTGTGCTCTCTCTCTCTAAAATAAATAAATCTTTTAAAATAAATAAATAAATAACAATGCTATGTTTATTTGTGATTATATATAGTTTCTCTGCTTTTAAATAGCTGAATAAATTCATATGATTGCTACTGCTAGATTAAAGCGTACAAACATTTTTATGGCACCTTATACAGACAGCCAAATTGCTTTAGAAAAATTGAGTAACTATTTCTAATTTCACAAATCAACACTAAGTTGTCTCACTTAACTTCTGTCGGTTAAATTAGTGATACCTGACTGTTGTTGCAAATTTGCACTTTTTACTGTGTATTTCTTATGTAAAATGCCTGTTCAAAGGCCTTTCTCACAAGAGTCATGTCAGGGCCTTACATTCTAAAGCCCCTTTGTTTGTGCTAGTCATTCAGTTCACACTGAGCACTTACTATACAGTCTACTATGCTAGGTGTTAGCTACTGTGCAGGGCAAAGAAATCTATCTTTGTTCATTCCCTTTGGGAAGGGATCTTTCCCTCGGTGGGCTGTAAGTTCCTAATTAGTCTACGAAATTCTCAGGGACCAAGATGACCTATCTTTGAACTCCGGTGAGAAACACAGGTGCCTGATTTTAAGTGAGAGCTCAATAAAGGAAAATAAATTGGAGAGGCAGGGAGGTAAAATTGAAAGAATATACTTGACACTCTTTGCTGCAATTTCCTTATTTTTATGGTGGGAGTAATTCCCCTCTCTTTCTGCAGAGTATTTATTGAGTACTCAGTGTTTCAGGGACTGGTTGTAGAGCAATAAACTGGTTCTCCTGGAACTTACATTCTACCAAGACATTAAATAAGAAAACAAAGAAGTAAATTAGATAATTTCAGATAGTAATAAATGTTATAAAGGAAATAAAACAGGTGAATGTGATAGAAAGTGACATGTGTGTGGTTTCAAATATCAGATACAGTGATCAGGGAAGAAAGAACAAAGGAAAGAAGGGCGAGGGCTGACAAAGGAAAGAAGGGCGAGGGCTGAGCCTCAGGATGCTCCTGCTGAGTGTAGGAGGGGGGAGCAAGAAAGGATTAAGAACATCAAAGAATGAGATGAAACTTTCAACTAGTTTATAGGCTCAAAGGAGATTATGTATATGAAAGTATACATGTACTTCCTTAAGATGTTTCCTTAAGGAGCTTATTGTCTGGCATAGTAGAGGGAATTAGAGATGTAACAGAATAACATAATACAAAATGACAGCAGTATCTTTTATAGAAGCTGTACAGGGAAAGTGCCATGAGAGTTCAAAGAAAGGAATTAACAACATAGATCCAGGTAAATATTCATTCTTCAGACTCGGCTTAAGCAATGCCTCCCTGGAGTCTTCTGAGCCTACATTAGCAGAGCCGTCACCACCATAACTAACACATTGTCCACAACTGACTGTCACACGCATTCCAATTCACCAGTTGGAGAGTATCTCCTCCACTAGACGGGGAACTCCTGCCACACAGAAACTGTCTCCCACGGTGCCTAGTATTGGAGATCCTCAGTGATTTCTGAATGAATGAAGAGGTCAGGAAATACTGGAGCAGGGGGGTACTGGAATTATGATGGGGACGGAGGGGCAGCACTGAGTCTGGGGTCATGTGGGTCACAGTACCAAAGTAGAAGTCATTCATGCTTCTTGTTACACATGGGGCTGCTAACGATGCTGGGCATAAAAACACACCAACCAAATACTTGCTGAGTTAGATAAGGGTAATTTTAGTCGTGCAAATGAAAGATTCATTTTCCCCATCACCGCTAGCCCCTTCCACTTACCCTTATCTAAACAGGCTGTAAAAATATGAATGAGTCACATGCAACGAAACAGATGAATCTCAGACATAATGATAAATGAAAGAAGCTGTTCAAGAGTACATACTGTGTGATTCCATTTATATCAGCTTAGAGAGCAGGTAAAAGGAGACTATAGTGCTAGAAGACAGAAGAGTAGTTACCTCTGGAAGAATATAAATGAGGCAGAGGCAAAAGGGAGCCTTCTAGGTGCTAGAAATGTACCGTATCTTCATCTGGTTTGTGGTTACCTGGATACATATTCACATATATATAAACATATGCATGTAAACAATTTGTCAAGCTGTGTACTTAAGATCTGTGGATTTTACTCATGTGTACTATACTTCAAAAATAATTAAAAATAGAATGTAAAATAAAAGATTCAAAGGCAGTACAAATGATAATAATTAAATATAGGTAAGATGATAATGTTAATACACTTACTTCATCTCCCTCATCAATTAATCCTTGAATGGCATTAAAAAGAAATCCATATGCTCCTACTGTCACAAGGATTTCTTTATTTGGATTGATTTGATTTTGATAAAATTTTTCATATAAGCAGGCTAGAGCTTTCACAAGTGATGGATGACCCTGTTGAACAAAAAAGAGGGAAAAAATCTTAAATTTGATTATGGGATCTACTTCTTGAAGGTACTCTGGATCTAAAATGAAAGAATTTTTAAAATTTGGGTTTCATGTTTACAATTATCCAAAGAAAATTTGTATTTTTTAATGGAAATAAGAAACATTTCCCACCTACTTTCAGAGGATTACTACATGAAGGGTAATAAAAACTTGCTAATGACTTAAAAAAAAAACCCATTAAACAATTGGTTTTGGCATTTAAAATTCCACCGTATTTGCTTTGGTAAAAATTGACTTCAGTACCAAATATGTCTTTGATAGTACATTTTTTGACAGCAATCAAATCACATTCAATGACTTTTTTTTTCAATTACTTTATTTTTGATAGTAATTAAATTATATTGGGTAGAGTTGGACTTTTTTCCCAGCTAAAATAAGAAAACCTGCATTGTCTATATATCCTGACTCTGTTCTTCCATGTTACCAAAGAGAAGGCTATTATGCCAACCAATGGACTATGGAGAGAGGGCAAAAACAAATTCCCCAAAGAAATGTATATTAGTGCTTATATGAGAGTTATGTTAGGAGGGAAGTAGGACATTCTTCACCACATGATAGCCAAGAGGGGAGGAGTCATTCAAGCAAACAACAATGTTCACTAGAGGAATGAAGGGACTGTAAATCCAAAAACTCTGAGACATATAAGGAGTCTTTTTTTCCCCCTAAGATTTTATTTATTTGTCAGAGAGACAGTGAGAGAGAGAAGGAGAGAAAGTGTGGGGAGGGGCAGAGGGCGAAGCAGGCTCCACACTGAGCAAACATCCCAATGTGGGACTCGATGCCAGGACCCCGGGATCATGACCTGAGCTGAAGGTAGACGCTTAACCGCCTGAGCCACCCAAGCATCCCTGAGTCACCCAGGCATCCCTGTAGGGAGTCTTAACTCCTTTATTCGATCTTCCTTGATTCGTCTCTTCTATGTTCTCTATTCTTCCCTTCTTCTCTTTCTTTCCCTTCCCTTTTCCCCTCCTTGTCTTATTTGGTACTGAATTCAGTATTTCTTATTTCTTATGGTTTCCTAGCATGTAGCTCCTCTTTTTGCTTTTGGAGAACTTCCTTAATTTTCAGTCAGTTGCAAGTGAGAGTCCAAGTGCTGGGCATGTGCCTTTTTTGCAAAGCACCTAGGGCTCTAAAGGAATAAACTGGGTCAGGACACAAGTAAGGCTGGTAGGATATACCTCAGATTTATGAAGTAAAAGAGCCTTTGGTCATTTTAAGTTATCCATCCCAGTTCATATAAAAAGGAGGCATTTGTTGTTGTTATTGTTGTTGTTGTTGTTAAAGATACTTTTGTTTGTCACCTTTGTCAGAATGTTGGTTAGTATGTCACAGACCCTCACCCAATTAAAATGAATAAAAACAAAGCTGTAGCATATTTTTCATATTTTGAAACTAGGAGATATTGTAATATTAGAGAAACTGGGTATAATTACTAATGGGGATGGGTGACGGAATACAGCCAGTAAACTAAAAAATAATAGCAAGAGAAAGAGACTACTTTAATTCAAGCTCCAAAAAATATACACAATTTGTGAAAAGAGCAAGGGCAGATTGTCACCATTCCTGGAAATCCAAAATTTCTTTTGAATTTCATTTTAATAACAGGTCTAACAAATTCTAGCAAGGGGTGATCTGAAAGCAACCATAAACACTACACATTTCCTCAGAATAATAAGGGTCTGTGTTTTAAAAAATTCTTAATTACAAAAATAACACATGCTTCATATAATAATTAAAACTAGGCAAAGCTCTGTTAAAAAAGTATAACGATCTCTCCTCAACAACACTTCCTTCCCATCTCCCTGAGGTGACCAATGTCATCCACAGCCTGGTGACAGTGCGATACTATCCGCTGTACTTATTCAAATAAAAAACTCATATATAAATATACTTACATATATTTACAAAAACTGGAAAATATTTAAAGAATGGGCATAGGTCACAGCAAAGGAAACAATCAACAAAACTAAAAGAAAATCTACAGAATGGGAGAAGATATTCACAAATGACATATCAGATAAAGGACTAGTATCCAGAATTTATAAAGAATGTATCAAACTCAATACCCAAAACCCCAAAAAATCCAGTCAAGAAACGGGCAGAAGACCTGAACAGACATTTCTCCAAAGAAGACATACAGATGGCCAAGAGACACATGAAAAGATGCTCAACACTCATCATCAGGGAAATAAAGATCAAAACCACAATGAGATATCTCCTCACACCTATCACTATGGCTAAAATTAACAACTCAGGAAACAACAGATGTCGGCAAAGATGCAGAGAAAAAGGAAACTTCTTACACTGTTGGTGGAAATGCAAACTTGTAGCCACTCTGGAAAACAGTATGGAGGTTCCTCAAAGTTAAAAATAGAACTACTAGGGGTGCCTGGGTGGCTCAGTCGATTAAACCTCTGTCTTCAGCTTAGGTCATGATCCTGGAGGTCCTAGGATCAAGCCCCGCATCAGGCTCCAGTGGGAAGTCTGCTTCTCCCATTCTCCCTACCTGATGCTCCCTCTGCCAAATAAATAAATAGAAATCTTAAAAAAAATAAAAAAAATAAAAAAGAACTACCCTGTGATCCAGCAACTGCACTACCTGTATTTACCCTAAAGATATAAAAGTGTTGATTCAAAGGGGCACCTGCACCCCAATGTTTATAGCAGCAATGTCCACAATAGCCAAAATGTGGAAAGAGTCCAGATGTTCATCAACAGATGATTGGATAAAGAAAATGTGATGTGTATGTGTGTGTAAGTGTGTGTGTGTGTGTGTGTGTGTGTGTGTGTGTGTGTATATACCAATATATATACTAATTCAAAAGAAATATGCACCCCATGTTTGTAGCAACATTATTTACAATAGTCAGACTATAGAAGAAGTCCAAGTGTCCATCAAGAGCCGAATGGGTAAAGAAGATGTGGTGTACACACACACACACACACACACACACACACACACACACACACACACACACACAAAATGGAATACTACTCAGCTCTCAAAAAGAATGAAATCTTGCCATTTGCAACAACATGGATGGGGCTAGAGAGTCTAATGCTAAGTGAAGTAAGTCAGTCAGAGATAGACAAATAGTATACACTTTCACTCATATGTGGAATATAAGAAACAAAACAAACAAAGGAAAAAGGTGAGAAACAAACCAAAAACAGGCTCTGAACTATAACAAATGGATATGTAGCAGAAGGGAGGTGGGCAGGAGGAAGGGTAAAATAGGTAATGTGGATTCGAGTATGCATTGTGATGAGTATTGTGTAATGTACAGAATTGCTGGGTCACAATATTGTGCACCTGAAGCTAATATATCACTGTACGTTAACCATGCTGGAATTTAAAAAAAAAAAAAAATCTGGAAAAAAAGAGAGAAGACTCTCCCTCCCTTGTTGCCCTCAGACCCTATGCTGGAACAACAGTAAAGCGAAGACCAAGATAGGACTGTGGAGGGGTTAGAAGTTGGGAATGGCTCCTTCCAGAAGATAAGGGCAAGCAAGGTTAGGGGTTCCTCTGATTACCAGGTTGGGACAGCTGGTCCCAGAAAGCCAATTACACAGAAGTGACAGAAGCACATTCACACACAACACCATATAAAATACAAGTTCATGCCCCACATGGTCTTCATATACTTACGAAGCCTCGTGTATACTGGTTCAGGCTATCAATTGCTGCAATCTTTGATAATTTCTCCTTTACATATATGGGAGGGGATATATCTGGAAGGCCTTGACCAAGATTCACAACAGAGGGGTCTGCAGCCAACTTTGTAAATTCAATCCTCAAATTAAAAAAATAATAGTAAGTACCAAAATTACAGTTAGCTTTTTATATCTCATGATCTTAACATAAAACTGAAAAACTAAGACCTAGTTTAATCTTACAAATAAAAAAATATGAGTTCCCAACAAAAACTTTACCACCTACAAAATGACTTTGTCTAATTAAATGATGGCTGAACTAATGAATTTAGAAGTTTCTTAGAAATCTCAATTTCTTGAAACCCACAGTTTCATCATCTATTTTTTTTCCCTCAACCATACCAGCTGTTACTAGCTCACGGATTACAAGATAAGTTCTTTGTCCTTTTCTCTGCCTATCTGTAGGCTTAGCACATGTACCATACTTATACGAATGAATAAATCAGTGTATGGACCCTTAACTTCCTTCCAATTTCACTTAATGAGTAAATTAAAATAAGTGCCTTTATTTGTAGAGTTTAGATGAGGGTAAACATTCCCAACTAAGAAAATAAAAAAGAAAGCTTCATCAAATTATTACTGCTTATTCTAAGGCACTCACCACACATTTCTATCAAGGCCTTCGATTCGTTTTGCATTGGTGATTTTCAAAGACATCTTCTGAAAGATACAAATATTGAAAGGTATTTTTAAGCTTCTTTAATCAAAATTTTAAAAAGCCAGAAAACCACTGGTAACTCTACATTTTCCCTATTGTCACTATGGGAAGAGTGGTACCATGACAAATGCCAGAGCCCGATACAAAATTCTGAAGTGGAATCATCTCCCACCTACTGCCCTAAGGAATGCTTTTCTTATGATCCTATGATGTTTATCTTCTCACAAAAGAACAAAAATAGCATCCTAGCCTAAAAAATAAACCACTTTGAAGGCCTGAAATGCACTAAAGAGAACAATAATGATACTAAAAAAAGTCAGGGTAAAAACATACCCTGAGTCCTTCTCTGAAGATCATTTTAGGTAAGATGTAGTAACAGTTCCACAAGTACGTGCCTTGTACGGCACACAGGAAGCACTCAACAAATGGTTTTAAAACTATTCAACAGAGAGCCCCAAATCATAACAGCTCACATTATTGAGTAGTGAGTAGGTACCAGGCACTGTTCCAAGTGTTGTACATAATTAACTGATTTCATAGTCACAACAACCCTATGTAGTGGTTCTCTTATTTCCCCTAAGTTAGTTAGGAGCAAAGTGAGGTACAGAGGATAAGGTTATAGAACTTTACACATCCGCCCAAGTTTACAAAAGCTAGTAACATTTAAACCCAAACAGATTCAACCCAGGATCTGAACCCAGGCAGTCTGATTTCAGAATACATACTCAGATTCCTTTCTTTTTCTCTCTCTTTTTTTTTTTTAGATTTTATTTTTTTCTTTATTTTTAGAGTTAGAGTGTGAGCAGGGGAAGGGGCAGAGGGAGGGAGAGGGACAGAGACATTGTCAATGACTCCATGCTGAGCATGGACTCCAGTGCGGGACTTGATCCCACAACCCCGAGATCATGACCTGAGCTAAAATCAAGAGTCAGACGCTTAACCAACGCAGCAACCCAGGCGCCCCCAGATCTATTTCTCTATACCGTCTTTTACGTATCAAGACCTTATAAAAAATATTACCAGAATGCTGCCTCCTAAAGAGAGTGTATTAGACATTTAGGTCAGGTCTCTTTATATCAAGCAAGCTAGGCCTATGGTAGAAAAATATTAGAAGTTAAAACTATGGTACATCATAAAATTCTTTAGTTCTCTAGATTTTAAAATTAAGTTTATACTATCTCACCAAAGCACTGAATTAGCGTTAAGTTCACTGTTAACAAGCTGCTAGGGAAAAAAATGATTGGCAGCATTTTTATAAAGATTTTTCCTAATAGAATACTAAAGCAATTCTAATTCAATCTGGGAGGAAGATAATGATAATGGTTATTAAATACACCATTGTTCTCATTCTATTCCAACAATGGAACCAAGAAAAATATCTTCTTACTCTCATATTTTTTAATCTTTGAAACTCCAGCGAAGTAAATCACATGCAAATTCTCCAGAGGTTAGGGTGCCTTCCAGAATAGCATTATGATTAAGTACCCATCTGAACAGGATGCTATTCCAGAAACTACAATTATAAAACTAAAAAGTCCCAGAATGATAGACAGAAAAAAATATCTTAACAATTGTCCTTTGCCATTAAAATGTTTAAAACTTAATGATTCATTTAGCATGTGGCTGTAAACACAACATACAAATTCATATATAAATAGGTGAGAAAAGTCTGCAGCAGATCATTTAGACACAAAAGTTCAATTTTATTTAAAATATTTAGGTAACTGAAGGCAAAACATATATCCAGATTTAATTTTAAAATCTGTGTCCAGAACAGCCTCTCTCATACAACCTCCCTGCCTCTCTGCTCCTTCCCACCTGCCAAAACCATTTTAATATTTGACATACTCCATCTTACTTCTGTAGCTTCACATATGATCATTCCTCTGCCTTAACGGTTTTTCTACACCAATGTTTCCTAATCTCCTTTTCATCACTGTCCCCATAAGAAGACCTTTCAGATATGTCTTCTAATCATCTCCCCTACTGCTCCATAAGGTAAGTTTTGTCAGATAGGGCTGAACTTTCCAAGGTCACAGAACATTGTAATAGCTATGGTTGATTTCACCTGCCAAGCACCAATTTTCTCCCCTTGAGGGCAATGATGCCCGTGTTGAGAATGTATGTTCTATACTCAATTCAATCCCTGCTCCCCATCACCCTGTCTCTGCACTTGGCTACCTCCTAAACCACTTGCCACTTTCAGTTCTCAAGTTAGACTTCATTTCCTCCACAGAGTGTTTTCTGATTCCCTAGGTCAAGGTTATATGCTCTTCCTACATACTTCTATTACATGGAGTAAATTCCAGCATTTACTATACAACACTGTAATTTTCCTGTTTATTTATCTATAACCTTCCTTTGATTGTAAACCCTGAGAATTAGTTCAAGCTTGTTCACTGGTATGTGTCTGTAATCAGGTTTCTCCACAGAAAAAGAACCAATATGATGTGCATATATATATAGTGATTCAAGAAAGGCTTGTGTGACTTATGGGGGCCAGCAAGTTTGAAATCTGCAGAGCAGTAAGGCACGCTGGAGACCCAAGGAGAATTGATATTACAGCTCAGGATCTAATGGCATTCTGGAGGCAGAATTCCCTTTTCCTGGGGGAACCTTAGTCTTTTTCCTCTTAAGGCCTTCAACTGATTGGATCAGGCCCACCCACATTCTATAGAAGGCAAATTACTTAAAATCTACTGATTTAAATGTTAATCTCATTTGAAAAACGCCTTCAGAGATATTTACATGGATGTTTGAACAAATACCTGGATTCCCTGGCCAGCCCAAGTCAACACAAAATGAACTATCACAGTGTCCAACACATAGAACTATGCTTAGCACATAGTAATTTTTCAACAAATATCTGATGAATGAAAGAAAGAATCCACACATCAGAAGTGAACTTAAGGTATCAGTTAGTTTATGTTAGGTTTATTTTGTCAGTCAGCTTAAGTTAATTTATGCTTCAGTAATAAATGACCCCAAAGTCTGGTGGCTTAAAATCATCAGGATTTATTTCTTTTTCACAGTACATACTGACTGAAGGTCAGCTGCTGCTTTGTTCCATGTCACTGTCACTCTGAGACATCAGCTGACAAAAGAGCCTCTTTTTGGAATACTGTCAATTTCATAGCAGAGGGGAAAAATGTTAATCTTTACTTAGATGTGCACATACCACTTCTACTCACATTGTGTTGGCCAAAGCAATTCATTGCTATGCCTGATACCAACATGGCAGAAATGAAGTCTGGAGGTACAGTGATTGTTGTGGGTTGAATTGTGTAACCACCCCTCACCCCCAAATTTATGTTGAGGTCTTACCACCCAGTACCTCAGAATGTGACCTTATTTGGAAATAGGTTCATTGCAGATGTAATTGGTTAAATTGAGGTCATGGGTTGGGGGACACTGCTATGACACTGATATGACAGTGTCTTTATAAAAAAGGGTGAATCTGGAGACAGTCTGGTATACAGGGATAACGTCACATGAAAAGATGAAAGTCAGGGAATGCCAGAGAACCACCAAAAACTAGGGGGAAAGCAGGAAGAGATTCTTTCTCACATCAAACAGAAGAAGCCAACCCTGGTACACTTTGCTTTTGGGCTTTTAGCCTACAAAACTGTGAGCTAATACAGTTTTGTTGCTTCAGCCACTGAGTTTGTCTTACTCTCTTAAGGCAACCAGAGTAAATTAATACAGTGATGAACATTTACAAGACACCTGACAGTGTCTAAAAACATCAAGATTCAGCAGTAGATGCAAATGCTCACTATATAAGAATTACTGTCCAGAGTAGATCCAGTCTTATAAAATGTTAGTAAACCCAGAATCCTATGGGGAATTAAGTATGAGCTTTGGGTGTATGATGGGAAATCTACAGGGCCCATATTAATTTCTGGGCCAGCTACTCCATGAGCTGATTTCTGCTCCCAGGTAAACTAATACCGTGCATACATATATTGCACTGCTATCTTATAAACACAAAAATGCTAGTGAAATAATAAATAGCGTCTTTTTTTCATCCACTTGCGGCTGAAAAGTGCAGTTCTGCAGAGTCACCACTAGGTGGAACTCTTGGTAGAGATGAGAGAAAGCTTATTACCAACTCTCTCTGCAACGGTTACTGCAATGGTGTTGGAACAAGGAAAACTTGGAAAGAAGAAAAAATATTACCCATTATCCCAAGACTCTAGCATAGTAAAGTTTCAACTATATATATTTTGAGCACTCTTCCTGTAAGACTGCTACTTTTGGGTCAGATAGGATAGATGTAGAAAAAGTCTTCCCAGGTGGTGGGTTAAACCTGGGGAAGCTGGGGGCTGTCAGCATCGATGCACCATGGGCTGAGTCAAGCATAAAAAGATAAAGAGTGCAAGAAAAGGTCAGAAACAGAACTAACAAGCCAATGGTTAGGGAGGTGACAACAATAATCAGATATGAGAGGCAGACAGACCCCAGTACTTCAAGACTAGGCTGCAGCAGGAAGTAAGTAACAATCTAATGGGTACCCCTTAATGTGTCTGGCCGCTGGGGTACCTGAGACATCCCTTCTCTTTCAGATCTATGAATCAGGCATTTCTAATTTTCTAAACATTTGCCTTTTCTTTTAAGAGAGCATCTTAAACATTTTATGAATTTTCTGTCATAAAATTTTCACTTTGATTAGCAGGTATTATTTCAGGTTCTTTACTCATTCATTCCCTATTGTTTGGGCGTTTCCTGTGTTTTGCAACTATAGGTAGTGTGTTTCTGCTGTGCATTTAATTATAGGGTTCTTATTCTGTTTCCTTCAGTTTTGGAGTTTGATGTGGAGGGGAATGCCCTACTATAACACAAGTATTTATTATTACAAGAAGGATGAAATATCATCAATATATATCATCTAGTTTAGCTAAACTAACTGAACATGCAACTTTTGATTTACTTTTATGGAAAAAGTAAGGTATAAAATCTGATGTTCCAACAACCACAATGATCATACTTACTTTCATTTCCC